AATATCAAGAGGGCTTCTGACCATGTCAAAAGTGCATCCCCCTTTACAGTGAGAGACGCACACAACTGGCCACCAGAGGCAGCCACCCCATCCGTCCTCCGTGAAGTAGCCAAGAAGCACCCCTACCAGTTGCTCCCCAGACAGAACCTCCAGCAGCTTGGTCAGGAGGTAGCCATCCCTCAGGTCTGTATAGAGGTCGCCAATTCGGCAGGAGACCTGGCCCAGGTGGGAGTTGATCCACTTGGTGAAAGTCTTCTTCTGCACTGCATCGCGCTCATCTGGCAAAGTTCACATGCGTTAGGCAGACCCCTCTCACTGCAGAGAGAGCCGCCCTCCTCCCCAAGGACTGGAACCACAATGGGCTGTCCGTCTTCAAGGGCACCGCTTGGCCTGAGGGCCATCCTGCCTGCCCCAATGAGCTTTTCATTTTCATTGGCCAAAATGCCAATGGGGAAGGGGCCACAGCTGCAGCCACAGGGCACTTCTCTATAATGTTTTTAAAAAACAGAGAGGTGTCAGCCACAGTGGCCCCCAATCCCAGAACCTGTTCAGCATTACCGTCCCACTCTAACCTTTTATTCACAGAGACAGCTAGAGCCTTGCAACCTGGTTCTGGCAGCCATGCTGGCCAGAGATTCTTAGGAGGGGAAGTCGAGCAGTCCCACCCCACCTTGTTCCATGACTCAGTGTCAAGCGCGCAGCCCTGCAAGCCAAACCTTGGCTCTATCCTCCCCACATCCTCCATGCTTCAGGAAGACTGTGTGCCATTAAAAAGATTACTCTAAAACAAAAAACCTCTTCTTTATTTAAAAATTCATTGGTTGCATCACCCCGGAGGGGAAACTCGACCATCCAGCCCCTCCCCATCTGCAAGGTATCCTTTCCCCTTCAAACCTCATAATAAGGCGAGCCCCGGATGGGTGAAAAGCACGTCCTCGGACCTACCAGCGAGCGCCTTGATCCGTGAGCATTCAAAGAGCTTGAATGTGGCGGTGGCCTCCTCCCGAGGCCGGGGCTGGGGGTGGTCTGTGCCCTCCCACCGGGTACTGCTGAATTGCTGCTGGGCCTCCAGGTTATCCAGCTGAACTGGTGTAACGTTTGCCATGTTGCTGCTTTCTGGGAACCCCACAAAGGGGCGACATGAACCCCTGAAGCTGTGCCGGCCGGTTCACCTGCTGAGTTCAAAATTCCAAAGAAATGGAGAAAATACAGCTGTTTAAAAGTGGGTACCAGCAGGGTAAACATGCTTTGTGATGCCTAGACTAAGGCTTTACCAACTGGACAGTTCTATGATGAGGATGTAGGATGGCTGGCAGGATCCCGCTCCCTTGCAACCAGTCCCTAGCATAGCCAGCCAGCCACAACACAGGAAAATGCAACAGTCCACGCAACTTGGTGCTTAGCCCTTTGCGCCCCCCTGGGGGAGATGGGATGGCAAGAGCCGTGCTATGGGAGAATCTAAGAACTGCCCTCCTGGCACAGACCAAAGGCCTGTTTGAGCCAGCACCCCCTTTCTCTCAGTATGCCACCAGAGCTCTGGAACCCCCGGCTAGACATCAAGGCAGCCAACCGCCCTCACTAGCTAACAGTGAGGGGCCCCAAATGCTTCTGCATATGAAAGCCCCTCAGAGCCCAGGAGTTCCCTCTCTTCCTCTAGGAACTTGTCCGACCCGTTCCAGTGATCGGGTGTTAGAACTGGCACCCACAGAACGGAAATCTGGGATACCAGCTGCCAGTTTAAATTCTGGAGGGGAGGCTCCTGAGAGGATATGAGAAGTGGGGGTGGAAGGGCAGAATCTGACCCCAATAAAAGCCTCTACCTGTTGAGTGGCAGGCTTGGAATATATATAGTTATTGCTAGGAAAGCATTAGGGTGAGCAGCCTACAAATACTTTATGAAACAGAAGTTACTAGAAGTCATTTTGAAAGCTAAGAGAAAACTCCAAGGAGGTTAATTTAAACAGTCTTAAGGGAACCTATCTACAATTCATTTTAAGTTATGTAACAAACGTTAACTCAATATTTTGTTTAAACATTAAAAAGATGCCTGGGCTGTCCTAAACCTTCCCTACAGTCTATCCAGTCATGTTGCTTTATACAGGCTGAAAGAAATAGAAAAGCAAAGGAATTTCCAAATCTTAGTGGTGGCAGAAAAATCAATGGACTCTTTAAAGAGCTCCCTAGATTATTGCAGGCTTGCTTTAATTCTGAAGAAGAAAGGACAGTGAGGGTATGCAGCAGCAAACTAAAAAAATGCCGAGTTGCATTAAAGGGGATCATCTTCCTCTGCTTCCCCTGGATTTCCATCCAGCATTATGGAAGAGGGAGAAAAGGTTATCTACAACAGGCATCCCTGAATGAACCTCTGTCCTGTTCTCAAACTCCATATGCTCCAAATCAGGCTTCCCACATTTCTCCCTATCCATTCAAAGGCCTTCTAGGGCCCCGCCGGGTCCCCCTGGCCCAGGCTGTGCCCTCCATTCCGCCATGCCTCATTCCTCATTCACTGTCCCAGCACATCCTGACCAACTACTTTCCCCCATTGCTTGAGTCCTCAGCTCCAGCATTCTCCGCCCTCCGAGATCTCCTGCTCCCTCAGACGATTCTGCCCTTCCACCTTGCTGCCCCACATCCCTAGGACTGCTCCCCAAAACCCTGCATGATGCCACCTTCACAGCTATCATCAAATGTCTCTCAGGACCCCTGATTTCATGAGACCACACCCTTTTGTGGAATCTGGTAACTAGCCTCAGCCCTCATGGAACTAAGACCACTTCATTTTCACCGTTTACCCATTGTGCTAAATTCCAAAGTGCTCTTCCCCTTTGCCCTGGTCAGACTGTGTCCACTCTTTAAATGGCAGAGGAAGATGCTGGAGCAAGTTCAGAGGAGAGCTGCCAGCGTGATAAGGGGTCTGAAAACCAAGGTCTTTGCATGCTTCGCTTGCAAAACAGAAGACCAAGGGGAGAAGATGCCAGAGCAGCCGGTGAATACCTAAAAGGCCCTCCTGGGCAAGAGGAAGCCAGTCCAAGCTGCCTATTGGTCACAGCTGACTCAGGATGACAGACAGGACCCGTCCATGGGCAGTGATAAAAAGCCAGGAGTCTAATCCCCAAAACAGCTGACTGGGATGGGTATCACGCATGCTTTTGATTTCAAGGGGCAGCAAGTTCTTCCGCTTGGATCACCAGCAGGGGGAATGGTGGGCTGGAATGAGCCCCTCCCAGAGCAAAGGCCAGCATGGACTAAAGCACTCCACCTCTGGAGCCCGTTGAGCAAGGGGGAAAGCAACTGGGGGAGAAGGGGCGGGGGAAACACCCCCTTTCTTCTGAGGACATACTGGTTTCACCTGATCCCCACCACCTGACATGCCTCTTTGATGAAATGCAGGTACAGCACACGGGGCTGAGCGCGATGCAGGGATTCTGAGCGGAGCTACTCACTTGCTCCTGCCCTGTAGCAGCCCCAAAACCCCAGGATGGGGGTGGAGGGAGGGCTCCTGGGGGAACATCCCTGCCCAGCAAGCAGCTGGGGTCCCCTTTAGGGGAGCAATAGCTCCTTTCATCCTCTTCCTAATAATACTTGCTGACCCATTTGGATATCCCAAATCCACATGTCAGCCCAAATTTTGTCAGGTTTTGGAATCTGAAGCACAGCGCTTGCAATGCAAAAGGAGTGGTGCAGTTTCATCAGGCCCCATGGAAGGGAAGGAACTCGGGTCCCTGGCCCTTGTTTGGTGCACAAGGGCACAGCAGGGACCTTCTCCTTGTGAGAAAGGCCTGGATGATGCCCCCCCCCCCCCGCACACCATTTAAGGCTTCCTTCCTCCTTTCCCAGGGTCAGCCCCAGGGCAGGGCTTGGAAGACGCCTCCTCAGGTTGCAGAGGGTCCTGCCCCACCAAGGCCGCCCAGGCAAGAGTGACCCTTCTGCTCCTCGCCCGTCCCGGGGGATGTGGCGACTTTCTACCGCATGGACGGCCTGGCTCCGACGGCCCTCCTTCTCTGAGCGCGCCAGAGCTGGGGGCCTGGAGGTGGGGAGGCGTCTCCTGGGTGCCCCCGACCCCCGGCCTGTTCTCTCGCCTCCGGAGAGGCGTTACAGGAAACAGCCTCCTGTCCTCCTCGACTCGCTCCCATTCCGGTCGTGTCGTCAGCCCCTTAGAGCCCGATGGGTGTCCCTTGGGCCTCTTCCCGGGAGAACAGCTGCGGCCTGGCCAACCTCACCTGCGCACCAGAAACCTGCGGGCCCTCCCCGCCGCCCGCAGCAGCAGCAGCAGCAGGAGCCAGGCGGCCTCGCCCGCGCGCCGGGCGAGATGCTGGCGAGAACTCTCGTCAGTGGTCGCAGAAGCAGGGCGAAGCAGTCCGGCAGTGCCCGGCGCAGCGTTGCTATGCCCCTCTCGCTATCGCCATCCTGGCCGAGCAGCCAATCCAGGAGCGCCGATCAGTCCCTCCCAGAAAGCCGAAGAGAGCCCCCCCCCCTCCCGCCGCCGCCGCGCCCGTTGCCAGGACCCCTTTCCAGGGGCGGCGGGGGGGCGGGGGCGCGCCCTCTTTTCCCCGCGCGCCCCCCG